ATATAATGGAGATGATGAAGATGATAATGATGGTGATCTTTCACTTTTAGTTAAATCCAGGTTAGTTGTATGAAGATGATTATGCTCCAAAATTGAAAGTGTGAGTTATTAAGTTTGTACTTTGGTGTGTAATGATCCATATCTCAGGTGATATTGTTAAGTCCGGGTTGGCGACACTTTTGATTCACTGGTGGCCTAGCAGACGATTGCTTTCCTGACTTATGAATATTCTATAAATTGCATATTTAATTGGTTTTCATAGATTCATCTTTAATCAGAAGAAACTAAAATTCCTTATTGATTTAATGAATGAATGATAGAGTGGAAATGGTTAAGCTGTTGTTATACAAACATCAGTAATTATGTCTCAGTTTGTTTTTTGTTTTCTTCAATGAGTTCTAGAATTAGATATTTTAGTCCTTTCAGTATTTTCTTGTTGACTGTTAACAGGAAAATGTTTTCAATAGTTTTCTTAAACTACTGAAATTTCGCATTTTCAGGGCGAGGAAGATATTTGTTCCACTGGCCATTGCTAATGCCCTTCGCTTTTTATGGTTTTATTTCTGCTAATTGTGAATTATGTCCTCATGTAAAAAAGAAATGGAATAGCGTGGCATTATAGTAGCAATCACTATTAGCAGTTGCTATACGTAGATATTCCTGGCTCAGGAAAGGAAAATGATGATGTCGAACAGCCCACCCGCCAATGGATCCGGTGGTGGAACAAGTCTTCTCGGATAAGGACTATAAACCGTAGGCTCAGTGTACGCATTTGGCTCGTGTACACTTTAAAGAACCCAGTACATCCTTCGAGAAGAGTAGGGGGTTACCCCGGTGTACTGGTCCATTAAGTCCCCTGTTGTTAAATGGATATGCCATGTAGGACAGTGATTGAGTTCACTTATTGGCATATCCTTGGCGCACATGCCTAAAGAAATGAAATGAAACATTTGACTTGTGGATACTTTCAATGGATTTGGTTGTTTTAATGACTTAAGAAAAACAAAACTGTATTATAAGATTTTGTATTGCTATCTTAATTTGTTCATTCATAGTTATACAGTATATACATTGGCATAAATTGCAAAAGCAAAGTAAATCAAAATCTTACAAGTATTTTCTTCAGTTATAGGCACATGAGAAATAGGAATTTGTGTAAACTTCAAAGTTAAAGTTGGATAAATGCATAGAGGGTGCTATCCATATATTTTTTTTAATCAATACTCTGTGCTTTCTCTCGCATGGTTGTACCAACCAATCAATGTCAAGAGTATAAGACCATCAACACTTTGTATCTTTGTAGATGTAACATTGTGATCATAAATCTCTTGACTATTGTTCATTGATGATGTTTGCTACACATTGCTAATAATGATAAATAATTTGCTTATTAATATTTACTTGGCAGGATTTGTGACAAGCTGTGTGGTGATAGGGGCAGCATCAGGAGAGATGGCTTTCCCAGTCATTGTTGGTCGAGTAAGGAATTCAATGATTTAAAAGGAGGCCTCATGATAAGAGCAAGGACTTTTACTATATTTATACCATTAAAAGTCTTTGATTAAAGACCAGTCTTACGTTTAAAGGGGAAATCACTTTACAGTCATATGATAAAATTCCATATACAGTATACTACATACATTTAAATTATAAGGCTCATAATATGTTGGCTTTTTAAAATGGCCATGGAACTCTCATTGTCACTTTCAAAATACATTTAACTTAAACATTAAATTGTAACATAAAAATAAACATTTAAATTATAAATTGTAAATTTGTATAATTTATATAATATATAAATTTTTATAAGATGTAAATTTCATTTTATTTAATCATAATTATAAAACACGATGCGTAACAAAACATTTTATGTTTCCAAAAAATTCTCATCAATTTGATAAGACATTTTAATATAATGGAATAAAAAAAATGGAATGAATTGCAAAATAGTTTAAAGGAAATTGAAAACCATAATACATTTAAATATTTACTTAAAAACATTTAATAAAAACAAATTTTTTTTTTTTTTTTAATTGGTCGAGGACCTCTATGGAAACAAGCTCATAGAGCTTATAGGGTTATCCTCTTGCTCTCATTTTTGTGTGTTTTTATGTACTTGTTTTTTTGTTTTGATATTATAATAAAGAGGGCAATAAATAATAAACAAACAAACAAATAAGGCTCATAATATGTTGGCTTTTTAAAATTGCCATGGAACTGTCACTGAAAAAATAAGTTTAACATTTAAATTATAACATAAAAATAAACATTTAACTTAAAGGCTCATGATATGTTGACTTTTAAAAATTGCCATGGAACTGTCAGTGTCACTTTAAACATAAATTTAACATAAACATTTAAATTATAAGGTTATAATAATATGTTGGCTTTTTAAAATTGCCATAAAACTAATAATAAATTTAACATAAAAATAAACATTTAAATTATGAGGCTTATAATATGTTGGCTTTTAAAAATTGCCTTGGTAATTTCACTTTAAAAATAAATTTAATATACACATTTAAGTTATATGGATTATATATATTGGCTTTTAAAAATTGCCATGGAACTGTCACTTTAAAAATAAATGGCTTTTCAAAGTTTGTATAGGTATTGCTTTATTTTATTGTGTATATTTAATAATATCTTATTTTTTTAATCTTTTGCAGCTGTTCTTTGCATTTGGACCTCCAAGTTTCTTCATATTTTGTACAATAGTAAGCTTCATCGGGATATGTGTGTACATTGTGCTCTGTTGTATAGGGCAATACCACATGCGCTCACGTAAGTATCAACTAATTCTCAAATATCAAATTGCATTACGCTCCCTTTATTGTAGAGGTGGTTGATGCAGCTGTTTTGATGGTCTTTCAGTCATGTGGTCAGACTTATACCTGTCTCTTATACACATCTAGATGTGTATAAGAGACAGGGAATGGAGTATTTTTAAGTTGTGAGAAAAACCACTCCTGCGGTTTGTGGGATTTATAATCCTTCTAGTACTCTAACATTATAGTATTATCAAAAATGGTGACAAATTGTTAATGCTGCTGTTTAGTGCTTGCCTCAGCTGTATCACATCCAGTAAAGAAAGCTTACTCCACGATAAAGCCAATTACTACACAACACTCGGTGACTCACGAGATGTTGTGAGTTTAGTCACTCTTCCAGAACAAACTGACTCAAATGGTCAAGACAAGCAAGCTAACAATTACCAAACTTGAAAATAGTCCACAAGTTCTGTCTAAGTAAATGCATTTATCACGCAAAATCTAACTCATCTCAATATTGATTGATTTTGTTGAATACTTATCATGTGTTCAGCTATTTACAGTAAACTGTTTTATGGATATATTTCTATATATTTTATTTGTGTATTTTTTAGATGAGTTAATGGAAAAAATTAACATATTACTGTGGTTGGAGGTTTATTATCTGTGAGCAACAGCGAAAAAGAGTGTTGCTGCTCGTGTGCAATGCAAGTCACATGAAAGTCACATGCTCATGGAACATGCATGATGGTATTCATGGTTGCTATCAATTTAATATAATCAGTTGTTTGATTTTAATATTATAATACCCATATATATTCACATTCAGTTGTATCCAAGATAAAACATATGATTATTATTATTATTATTATCGTTTATGCCAAGATGAAACATATATTACATTATCGTTATCATTTACTATTATTATTATTATTTATTATTAAGATATAGAGTAATAGAAAAGAGAGAAGTTCTCCTTTTTTTTATCATCATATTTTTTTAAATGTTTTTAATACACATACTAGCCAATTCAAGGTGAATAATGAACATATCCAATAGCAATGTGTCTGGTGCATGTGACAACTCACAGTATGTTAATTTCCTGGATGATGGAACAGTGGCATATCTAGGGGGTGCACGGGGACGCACTCCCCTTCAAAAATTACTCACGTTGCCCTCCAAAAATCATGGTAAAGTAGTTAAAAATCACCTGATATCACATTATTTTTGCGAATTAGCACCCCTCAACTGATCATTGAGCTTCCCACTACACCGTTGCACTCCCCCCCCCCATCAGCACCCCTATTTCAAGACTTCTAGATATGCCACTGTGATGGAATATTTAAATAGAAACCAGCCAACAATGACACATGTACAGTATCTGGTAAAACCAGCTTAAGTTTTATACTAAATCTAAATTAATCAGTTCTTTTACATTTAAAGAATGCTTGCTGGTTTTTTACTTTGATTATATCCAGGAACTTTATTTTAAACCATTTTAATCTATTGATTATTTTGTTACATTAAGAAATATATTTTTATTATTTAGTAAATAATTCTTCTTTTTTCCCCAAAACAAATCAAAATAAAACAACACTAGGAAAGATTTTTGCACCATACATTTCTTTAAGCTTGTTATTTGATTATTAAATTTTATAAATTGAAGAATTAAATTGTGGGAATACTGTACATGGCACAGTAGTAGGCCTACATTAAGAATGCCATTGCTTTCTTGCACAATGATTTTATTTTCTCAATTCCCTAAATTTGGTGGTTTATGTTTTTTAGCTTATTCTAAAATTATATTTCAATTGCAACCAAGCAATATTTAATATTAAATGTCCCACCCATAAACTCTTAAAAAAGTACACACGAAAATAAATGTGTATTTATATTTACTTTGTTATTTTTTTTTTTATTAGTTGAATTCTTAATTGGAAAATTCATCACAGAACAGGTTGTTCTAATAGTTTGTTTTCATTGGTTAAGAAATTGTCAAGTTATATAAATATATATTGTATTGTATATTATATATTTTTGAATATATTGAATGTAATGATTGTCGGCAATGATAGTGTTTTAGTTAATAAAATGTTTAGCTAATATCTCCTAGTTGCACTTTAATTTTAAAAAGTGATAATCACTACTGTAACAAAATCCTCTATATGGGACTAATTATTGTAGACTGCCAAATGTTAATGTAATAGTGAAGTGTTTATGATATACTGTATATGTTCATATTCTAAGAATTATATTTTTTATCCTTTAATTATATTGAAACATTATAAATGTGGACTGAGTTTAATGTAATTTCTGTTCAAGACAGTTGTTGACTAAGACTATTTTCCTATACATATCCTCCACACTTCGTCATTTTGTTGGCCACCCGTCATTTTATCGGCCTCCCCCTGTTGTTTTGTTTGCCTCCCAGTCATTTGTTCCCTCCTGTCCTTTTGTTTATCTACTTAAAAGATAATTTTTTTTTTCTCAAGGGAGTTTTTTATATATCATTAATAATAGAATCAACTTTAAATTCAGTGTTTGGCAATTTTTTATGAAGTTATAGGCCATATTATACGATTTTACCCCTCAGCAGCGTAACGTCAGTGTAAGCTATTGTAACCACAGCCATGATCTTTGCAAGCATGCTATAACCATGGCTGTAACTCTTTTGTTGTTATAGCCATGGTTACAGCATACACACAAAGATCGTATGGCTGTGAGTGCTGCGCTATACGACTTCTGGTCACAGTAGCTGCTAAGGGGTAAAATTGTATATAATGGCCTAAAACTTCATAAAAAATTACCATTAAATGATTTTAAAGTTAATAGGAATTTCCTGTTAGGACATATATTTATTTAAACTGTATAGAAATGTACTTGCAAAACAATCAATTGTACAAATTTAAAAGGTAGATACAGTATTAATGTAATTTGAAAGAGATAATTTGCAATACTGATGCAAGACAGAATTTTAGTGATGTACATTGTTTGCTACCTGACATGCATGCAAAAGGTCACTCAAGGTCACACATGCAACAGGTCACGCACACATTTCGCCCATAAATATTCATGCAGCAGTTATCATACACCCAACAGGGAGATTTCGATTGAGAATTCAAAATGAGAACGTAGAATGAATACACTCATCTGTGACTATTGTCATAATGCGTTCTACATTCTACTTTAAATCAATGTTGATGTTTTAAAACGCATTCAAGGAGATGTCACAAACGCAAAGACTCAAAAACCGATCATGTGCACAACAGGTCATGCATACAAGAGGTCATACACAGTGGCAGCTCATGCACACAACAGGTCATATGCAGTGGTTGAGCATGCAATAAGTAAGTCAGGTACAGCAACTCTTACACGCAACGGGTCATGCACACAACAGGTCATATGCAGTGGTTGAGCATGCAATAAGTAAGTCAGGTACAGCAACTCTTACATGCAACAGGTCATGCACACAACAGGTCATATGCAGTGGTTGAGCATGCAATAAGTAAGTCAGGTACAGCAACTCTTACACGCAACGGGTCATGCACGCAACAGGTCATATGGTCGAGCAGTCAAAAGATATTGTCTCTGAATGTGTATGTGTAATATTAGTAGATTGTTCAGGTGCAATAACACGCCATTAGATTTTCGTATACAATGTATTTTATATATTTATGTTCTTTTCTGGTGACTGTGTTAAATCTTATAATCAACTTATTCTATATTGAATAGGTTTGATGTGTATATATATGTGCTGAAATATTCCAATAAATGAGGTTATATGCTATTACACAACAACTTTGACATGTACCTCCAATAATTATGGTCCTTTATTTCTCAAACACAGAAGTCACAAATCAGCAATGCATTAATGGTTAGTGGTGCCAGAAAGGGTTCCGACAAGCCTGACAGGAGAGCCAAACAAAGGGGCCAACTAGAGCCTTGGTTAGGGTCCCGGCATAACAATCCCTGGTAGGGCTCATGGGGAGGGTTTATGGGTTAGTATAGCCCAAAATTTTTAGGAATAGCAATCAAAATAACTTTATTTGGATATTGGTCTGTGCCTAAACTCCAACACATTGTGAGCTAATCATACAATTTATGCCGCAATAAAACTCAGAAGGTTTTTTTGTGAATCAAACACAGCGGTGGATGTAACAAAGTAAAATCTGGTGGAAACACTGATTACACATCCTCCACATTATACAGCTTGTGATTTGCTGATACATCTGGTGGAGACACTGATTGCACATCCTCCACATATGCAACTTGTGATTTGCTGACAATATATCATTTTGATTATTTATTCCTAATAAAACTGTAAGACATAATGAAAACATAACATAACTGGATTACAAAATATGAGGCCTAAAACTATTTTGTATATATTTATCTTATTACACAGACTGTATAGTCAGATTTGAGTTGTGTCTATTATTGGTTGAACGAGCAGCCTATATTCTTATTATTATTTATTCAGGCAAGACAAAATATTCAAAATATAATATAAATCAATAAATCAAATAAATATAACATTAACAAGTGCATTACAAATATCATAGTCATTAGCTACCAGTAAAGCACAATAGCAGCCTAAACCACTGTCACCAAACAGGTGTTGCATAAACCACTGTCACCAAACAGGTGTATGAGTGTATTAATACTTAAGGTATGAAATGGAAGAGTTTCATTCAAAATTGCTATTAGTTTTTTTACTTTTTTGTTGCTTATTCAAAAGTTCACATTTGATGTGTCACTTGTTTGAGGGCAGCACTTCCAAGAAAGACTTGGTGTTCAAAATTCACAGGTAAACATTCGGGTGGGGTATCATGGTGGCAGTAATAGCTTGACGGTAACAGTGTGATGGAAGTACTGTGTGACAAAAGCAGTCCAGTCATACCAATCGCTTTAGGTGAAGTTGACCAGGGTACTGGCTCAGCCGGTAGTGCGCTTATCACAATCCATACCAACAATGTGTTTAATTTTCAATTCTCCATAAGCTTAAATTGTACCTCCGTTCTGCTATGGAAAAGTATATTACTCCCCCCCATTTTTTCCCCCCCCCGCCCCCCCCCCCACAATTTTGTTTAACTTTTCCCTGTCCCTTGGCTGCGCCCCTGAAAATAATCAGTCCAATTAATATTGAATTAACAGGTCGGCACAGCCTACTCCCATTCAATAGAATTTTTGAGTGTGACTCATACACTAAAGTAAACATCTAGGCTATCCAATTGTTTATTTCGGTAGTACAGTTACTGTGATAGATGTACATATGACCAAATTGACACCACCTGATACCAAAGACACTAGAAACACAAGATAGAGTTCAGAGAAAAAAAAAACTCTTCCACCGAAATGCATGGTGGGAATACAAACAATTGGGCCAACTCCTGCCACTGTTACGTAACTGTGAATACATAACCTCCTTTTGCGGAGGTTGAAATCGTTGACATTATCCATAATATACAAACAAGTAGGCATTAATAAATCAAAACAATAAAATGGCAGACACAAAAGCGCAGATTCGTATGACCAGAGTCCCAGACTCTGATTAGTGATAAAGTTTTCCTCCATTAAGAAAAAAAAAGAAGGGCGCCGTGTGCGTCTGGTTATAACTAGCAACAGAAGATCGCCCTGTACGTCTGGACCAAGTATAGAAACTTGCGTTATAAAAAGAGAAGGGCGCCGCGTACGCCTGGACCTATTTCCGCTTCATTTTTGCTATGCGAGTGCTCTATCTTGTATTTCTAGTATCTTTGCTGATACGTACGTATACAAATACACTAACAACATACCATACTAACTAGGCCTAGTAGGACTACTACTACCATTCATGAAAACAACGGGTGTGTTTAACCTGGTGTAACTTTAATTTCATTTGAAAGATCAGTTTAAATAGGTAAAGGATAATAGATCATGATATTGTTATCTTTAAAATTGCATGTCATCTGACTTGTTAATAATTATAATAAATATTTCTTGTGAAAAGTTTGGGTCTAGGAGGCTAGGCCCCCAGGCTAGGCTAGCTATGCTGCTAGCCTAACTACCTACTGTGTACGTGAAGGCTAGAGAGATGACGCGGACGAAGTGTTCGATTCAGCGTACGGATATGACAGTTGACAAGTCAGCTTTGTTGTTCACTTGTAGTGTTGATTATGACAGCTGGGGGCATAGACTAATATGTGGACTTCGAACATGTAGTAAATCATTGTTCTTAGTACCTATTATTATTCACTTTACTTCCAAGAGACTCATTCGTTATTTTGTAGTATTGTATTTTTTGGCCAACTTAAATAAGGTCAATTCAAGTCTAGTACCACCAAAATTGTCTGAGAACTCTGTCAGTTCAGGGACAGCAATAGGCCAAGGCTTAGGCCTATACCAACAATTTCGACAGAGTGATGAAAAAATATTATTTAGAAGGTTGAGTAGACATAAGAGAACAACAAATAATGGACGATGTGATCGCAGCACTGTACAGCAGTATTTATCATCGTGCCAGCCTTGTGATACTAATCTGGTTGAGCCATGCGAGAATGGTTTTACACTAGCAGTTCAGAATGGATCCTTAACTTGTACATTTGAGGCTGATGGTTACGGTAAGCTTGAGGGATGCCAATTCTGGTGTGAAAAACCTGTCAACCTTATCAGCTGTTGTCCTGGATTTTATAAAACAGGAACACTCTGTTCAGGTGAGTTTACAGTTGCGATGTGTACGGTACAGTACCGTACGCTATCTCGGTAATGATAAAATAATCTTATCAATGTTAGGGTTGGCAAAGGAGACACTCACCACATTACAGAGATAGCGTTTGGTACCATATTCCAAGTCACTGCCTATTTCTTAGCCACAGATATAATTTCACATTGAACTCCAATGTGACACTATATATGAGATCTGATGACATTTATAAGCAGTAATTGTTTACTATAATGACTTTTGCAAATAGATAAATAAGAATAATAATATTAATTTTTTTTCTCTTAACCTTTCTAACAATTTAAATATATTTAATGCTTTTGTATATTGTATATACTTTGTAATGTAATTTAATTCCAGTTGCCAACAATTCAATTTTATTGCCAATAGCTTCTGTTTCTAATGTATGTGGACTATTCTCTTTTTAACTAGAATGTCCTGGTGGTTATAGTTCACCATGTAATAACCGAGGTACATGTCATCCTGATGCTGGTATTTGTGATTGCCATGGAAACTTCAATGGGTTTGCATGTGAAGAGTGTTCCAATGGGTACTATGGAGATAGTTGTGCTAGAAGTGAGTTCAATATATTGTATAAAAATAATGTGATTTGTTTTTTTAACTTGTTCAAAATCTTTTAGAAAAAAATGGCCAGTGAAGGTGCCAGAAATTCAAAAGTTCAAGGTACCTGAAAGGAGGGCAACTGCTAGATGAAATCTATTCCAATATTTCATTGTAAGCTTGAATATATTTCGTCTGAATGAATATAAATATAAATATTCCTTGATTCTTTGAAATACTATAAATAATTATAGTACTATATGTCACTGATTTTAATCAAAATCCTGTTTTTGTTTTTATCTTGATGCTGTAGTGTTCTTTGTAAATTCAGAGCTCTCCCACACTGTCGGTGGTGTTTCTGCAGTATAGTGTTAAATCACAACTTTTCCTTGCCTTTTAAATTAATTTGTTTTTGTTGTTTTCACTTTTGTTGTTAGGAAATTGTAGGCCAGATGCCAACACTATTTGAGCACCTGTGAATCATGTACTGTACCTGCTAACCACTGCCTGTCGGTGGTCTCAAATGGCAGGTGAACGGCGCGATAGTGTTGGTTCCTCTGCGTTAGTCTGTTTCGGTTCTTTGTTTTAGCATGGTTTGCTTAGTTAACCTACTAAAATAGATTTTGATTTTTTAATTTTCTGTATAGCACATAGAGACGATGTATTATGCACTATATAAATCTTCAAGCATTACCATTACCATAATGTTGATGTTCTTTGCTTGGTGACCTACTAATTGATTTCTCTTGTCCTTTTATGTAGTTTGTAATTGTGTACATGGTGTGTGTGA